AATCCCGTTTTCTTGAGTACAAACGCCGAGCTGAAACATCCAGGCGGAAGATCCGTGCTTCTTTCACATAACTTGTTTTGTTCGCACCAAAACAAACGCAAACAATGACGTAGTTCCGTTTCCTTTCCCTAGCAGATTGCTTGCTGCCATCTGCTGAATAAGTGGATTTGCTATGTGACAATAGTTAACCACAAATTCATTTATGAATATGACAATATAAATGCGCAAGACTGAAATCTTTAAGGTGTAAATAGCGCAGGAAGATCAACAAAACAAACACTGTCATAAAAAGGTAACAACAATAATAACAGTGATAATAATACATCAAGTCAAAAGTCTTGAGCCAATCCTCATTTTTTAATATTTTACAAGAATACTGTAAATAAATGCAGCAATGTTTTTTGAACATGTGTAAACATGCACGGAAATAAGGCATATAAGGCAAGAAATAGATTGTGCAATTCTAAGGAGACTGAATGTCGATGTTTGGTATGAGCACCTTTCTTTTTCAACACAGCCTGAACTCTCATAGGCACAATTTCTAGTAATTTCTTTGAGTAGGCTTCAGGAATAGCTCCAAAGAATTTCTAAAGAATATTACAAGCTTTTCTTTGGGTGTTGGCTGCCTTTTGTTCCATTTTCTGTCACGATAATCTCACACTGCTTCAGTAATGTTGAGATCCAGGCTCCGGGGAGGTCAATCTGTGACTGATAGTGTTCCAGTGTGTGTTTTTCAATACAGGTTTGCTTTTACTACATTGGCAAGTTGTTTGGGATTATTGCCATGCCGAATAATCCAAATGTCCAATCAGATGCTTTCCACATGGATGATGGGTCAAAATCAGCTTCACAGCTGTAGCTTCACAGGGTCTCCACAAGGGTGTGTCCATTCCTCAGTGCATTTCTGGTAAGACTCCTGCTTACCATACTGAGCTATTTTAAAAATCATCTGTTTTCTCATATATCAGATATTTGAAGTAAAATATATGTATGTATGTGGTTTCTCTCTCCATATATATAGCCTTTTACAGGAAGATTCACTGACAAATGAAGAATTAAGAAAATGTCTTATTAAGGAAAATGTGTATTCTGACCAGTTTGTGAAAACCTCCTTAAGACTGCTTTGGTTGGTAGCATATTTCTGTAGTCATAGTTTAAATGGAAATAATGGACTGTATGAACACACATTTAATTGCGAATCAAACAAAATTCCATTGTGGTTTGCCTTATGCCTTATGTTTCTATTTAGCTAATAAAGCTTATTTTGAGTTTATGTTTGTCTAAGGAGTCCTGCATATTGGGTCTCCACCTACCACACAGCACCCCTTGATAATAATTTCTGTTGCTGCAGTCTTCTGAGGACTTAAGCCTGATTAGAGCTGTTGTGGTTTTCTGAATTGTGATTTCAAACGATTTTCTTGTAAATCTGTGGACATTTGATTTCATGTTCAGCATCCTAATTCCATTCATTCTGTTGGAATTGCATTGGTAACTCATGGAAGTGTTACTGAGTATTCATAACCAGCCACTTTGTACGTACAGTGAGCGAATGGGTTGGTTGAACTAAATAAGGTTGAATTAAATTGACTCATTAGAACTACGTTGGCTCATATTGATCAGAGAGTTAGAACAACAACTAAAAGAAACTTAGATTAACCTGAAAGGAACTAATCAGGGTTAACTGGTATTGGACACAAATCAGGATTTAAAACCAAACCTAAAGTGGGAAGTGAGAGAGATTTATTTTTGGTTTTTTGGGGTTTTTTTGTTGTTGTTTTCTTCTTTTATTTAATTCCTTCTGGGATTTAGATCCAACAACTTAAGTGCCGAAACTGTACGTACACTTCTGTGTATTCCATTTTCCATAAAACAGCCAGCAGTTCAAAATTTACGATGGTCTGTTGTTTGTTACTTCAGGTTTCCAGTATAAACTGCTCTTGTAAATCTAGATTCTGGTCCTAGCGATCTGTAAATATCTACAGTGCTACAATATGTTAACGTTTTTTTGTTGTTGTTGTTTTTAAAGAATATGTTCAATTTTTCCTTCATCTATTTATTTTATTTTTATTTTTTTATCCAAATATGTATAAAATTTTTGCTCTTCATCAGTCTAAATAATGAATATTATACATGCGTTTCTCTTATATTAAACATCTGCTGATATTCTGACCTGTAAGACAAACATAACTCTGTGTTTTTCGTCTATCCCTTTCTTTATTGCGTGAGTCAAACCAGGAGATTGTGACAGATACTGCTAGAAATGTAAAACATAAATGTGCTGCCAAACCAACACATGCAGCTATCAAACCTTTCTTCATTTTAATTCTTAAAATGAATTATTCTTGAACGAAGACACTGATTTGACACATGTAAAAATATGGTTGATTGTGTTTATTGCCCCCTCCACCCATCTCCCTACCATGTGTTCTCAAAAGTGAACAGAGGGTTGGGAAATGATAGAGGAAAGGAAGAAGTGGGGGAAAGAGTTGCAAAGAAGAGGGTAAAGCAAGGGTAGAAGACCGAAAAAGTGGTGAAAGAAAGGATTAGAAAGGAGGAAAGAGACAGAGGAGAGAAAACCCCAACAATCCCTTCTGAGCAAGGAGGAAAAACTCCCCTTAAGCAGGAAGAAACCTGTGGCAGAAGGTTTGGGTGTGAGGGTGAAAAAAGAAAAGAAAAAGGATGAAGAATATATTGGAGAAAGAAAACATGGAGAGTGATGAAGAGGTGGTCGGAGAGAAAGGGAGAGGGGTGATGAGATAGAAAAGAGGTGGAGGAAGACAAGCCTATGCCTCCTCATGATTAAGTGAGGAAGCAGTAGGGTCCCTCCTCCTGAAAGAGCAGAAGCGTTTTTTCTAATTTTTTAGGCACTGTTCCTGGAGCTCTTTCTTCTGTAGGATGAGGATTTTCAGTTCATTGATTGTTCCTGCATTTTGCTCCTCAAATTTCTTGCATTTTTTCTCCAGTTCTTCTAATTTTTCTTGTTTTTCATTAAGCTTTTCTTTCAGTTTTTTAGATTTTGCCTCCTGTATTCGCTTTGCCTGTAGCATCTTTATATCCCTCTGTTGTACTTTGTTGTACATGTCTTCTAACTCCTCATTTCTGCTCTGGATTTCTTGAAGTGTATACTACAGGTCTTTATGTGTTTTCTTCAGTTCTTCCCTTGCACCTGCATTTCATTGTTTTTGCACCTCAAGTTGTTGTTAGGTTCTGTTTTTTCTCAGCATTTCATTGAACCTATATTGCATGTCTGAGCATTATTTTTTCCAGTTTTTCCTTTTCTCCTTCTAGTTCAATGGTTTTCGCATGCATTTCATTATAACATGCGTGCAGTTGTAGATTTTTCCTTTCAAAGTCTTGGAGAATAAGTTGTGTGTTTTTTCTGTATTACTTCCTGTTGCTCTTTCTCTTGAAGCATTTCTGCATTTTTGTGCAGTGCTTCATCAAGCAGTATTTGCAACACATGATGTTTTTCCTCCATGTTTTGGAGTTTACATTCCATTTCTTTCTCCTTTATCTCCTCTTGTTTCTTCTCTTGAAGAAACTCTTTTTTTTTTTCCAGGGCTTCATCAAATTTTACTTGCAGCTTCTGATTCTTTTTCTCTGTGTCTTGGAGAGTCAGTACAGCCCAGTTTGATTTTAAATGGGCCAGACCAGTGAAACTCTCTTTTCTGTCAGTGTAAAGATGTTTAACTAGAAATTTAATCCCTGAGATAATTATATAAATATAATCTAAGAAAAAGAAATTCAGTTTTCAACAATACACTTACACACATCCGTTTTCCTACATGATGAAGTAATTCCGCTTTGGGCTTAAATTTACAGAAAAATGTCTATTAGCTCATTGCACAGACTGTCTTGTAATTATAAAATGGAACATTTTTATTAAATGACAGAATAATGTTTTTTTTTCTTTTTGCATGATTCTGACAATGAATCCACTGTAAAAATTAAACTTCTCTATAGTAGATCATGGAAAAAAAGGTGATCTTCTCTTATTTAATCGTTCATTTTTTAATCATTGTCAAGTATAATTTTGACTATCTGGCGGCGGAGTTTGGCCCTTAGACCTTATGTTTGACACTGCTGGCATGGTACTGTTGCAGAAATAGCAAACACAGCATAGCCTGTTTTAGAGTTTGAAAGCCACAGAGAAATCGACAGTATGCCTCCGTGTTTTTGCTTAGACAATATAGGTCCTTCCCATATCGAGACGCTCATGTTTATCAGAGAATCATGGTTATATCCATAACCTCAAGTTTGTAATGATGCCCTCTTTATTGGGTATGACACCACATCTCCAGTTTACCTAAGGAAGTCCTGATTTTATTGTCCTTACTTGCCAGCCTTGTAAGACATAAAGTATTCGAACGAGTAATAGCCAAAGTCTCGTTGAATTGCTGGTTTTCTTTGGCACGGTGCTAAATTGCTGATAGACACCTCTGACCTTATATTCAAATTTAAAAGTGACTTGCTGGGACAGTGGATAAAAAGCATGACTAAGCAGGCCTTGCACAAACAGCGCACTTCCCCGAGGCGCTATAACTTGGAAGTGAGACATAATTATAGTTTGTGTCGTGGTTGGGTTTACGTTTGCATGCCTCCACAATGTGTTTTGGATGTATGCGTGCCGCGCGTGTGCGGGCGTGCAAACTACAGAGCGTGCCCTCTTATAGATAATTACTGCTACCATTATTGCTGCTGTGCAGAAAATAACTCGAGGGATTGAAATGCAAATGCTAATAAAGTCTTTACAAATATGTTTAGTTTTAATTGGTACTAATTAGTCCAATGAGAGGCAGAGCTGGTGACACAGTGACTTTTTACCTGGATGGAGTAGGTGGCGACACAAGGAGGGCAAACGAGCCCCCTCCATCTGCATGCTTTTGCGCACGCGTAAAATGCATTCAAACGCACGCTCGCGTACTTAAACTCTGGCTCATGGCCTATATGAACGAATAGTCACTGAATTCTTTCGGGGCCAGAAGGCAAAAATGACAAGGAAGAGGGATGCTGCGCTCCATCCAAGCCGAGCGGGCTGCGCGGTTTTACGCGCGGTGGCACAACTACGGCCATCTAAAAAGATGCCAAGGCTTCCTGCGGTTATCCTGATTGTGCCAGTGATGCTGTTAGCCTTGGTCAAGCCAGCATCTGCTCATCCTCAATGCCTGGACTTCAAGCCACCTTTTAAACCTCCATGGCACCTGGAGTTTTGCAATCAGTATGAGCAGTTTGGATGCTGCGACCAGGGAACTGACAACATGATCGCGGAGAGGTACTGGGACATCATTGAACAACTGGAAGCGGCAGGTCATGAGCTCTGTACCGACATGCTGAAGGAAATTATGTGCCAGGTAAATATATTCTCTTGAGTTTTGATTACTATTAATGCCATGATCATCATCTTTGCTTTAGGTGCACTGCAGTCTTTTCACGTTTGCTGCAGTTGTGGTTGTATGTTCTCCATTTCAGACAAACAAACAAACAAAAAAAATCCTTGAAAAAATGAAACATACACAACTTGAACTTTTGATTCATTGTAGTTTATTCTAATTAAACTCAAGTTAAAATCAATTTAGGGTTACAATAATAAAATAAATCCCACAAAAGTTATCACTTAACTTTATAATTGTTATAAATGGTTGAATAGAAACTGTGAAAATTTGCTCAAGTTTAAAGCAAACTAAAACTGGATACTCCCATCAGATATTAAATGTAACTACTAGTGACTGATAAACTAGTATTTCGCAAAAACAAATATTATCTAACTGTCATTGAGGTTTTAATCCAGAGTGCTTATATTTGTAACAATTATCAGTAACATCAGATTATGGTTTCCACATCTGAAATAAAAAACATCTGATATTGAAATCACTATGACATGTTTCCATATTTCATTTACACAGGCAAATTTGCAGAGGACAAACTTCCAGACATTCAAAGTGCTCTTATTTGAAAAACAAAACAAGTCTTTGTGCTTATGGGACACATGTATTCTTGATGTTGTGACTTAATGGCTCTCTTAGTCCAATAAATCATCTCCTCTGTGCATGACGCTGCCCTGAAATGTCTTAATGGTAAACCACTGTGTTTGCCCCATCCAGGAATGCTCGCCATATGCTGCCCACCTCTACGATGCTGAAGACCCCTACACACCTGTGAGAGAAATTCCCGGTCTTTGCTTTGACTACTGCTCTGAGTTTCATTCCAAATGTCGCCACGTGCTTAAATATTTAACAGTCAACCAGCTGCTGCTGTACGCCGCAGAGCGCGACGTAACCACGTTCTGCAGCATGGTAGACCTGCCTGACCAAGACTACTGCTACCCCACTGTTTTGAAAAGCTCTGACCTCAATAGTAACCTGGGACAGGTGGTAGAGGACCCAAGAGGTTGTCTCCAGTTGTGCCTGACTGAAGTGGCCAACAATCTCAGGAACCCAGTGCTGATGCTGCACAGTGGAGATGACACACATCGAATGTTTATTGCAGAACAGATGGGCTTTGTTTGGGTTTACCTACGCGACGGCAGCCGGCTGGAGCAGCCTTTCCTGGATATGAGCGGGGAGGTGTTGACCACTCCATGGCTGGGGGATGAGAGAGGATTCCTAGGAATGGCTTTCCACCCAAAGTACCGGGATAATGGACGCTTCTTTATTTACTATTCCATCCAGGTCAGCAGTGAGCTGGAAAAAATCAGGATCAGCGAGATGAAGGTGTCTGCCTATGACATGAACGTGGCTGATCCCTACTCAGAGAGGTATGCAGAGGGAGGGTCTTTCTTTCATGATGTGGGTCTGCACAAACTACATAGGCTTTATCATCATTCAGGGGAGGGGCTGTAATTGCACCAACCCTTGCATAAACATGTTCAGGGCTAAACACTACATATCAATTTACGATTTTCTGGGATTCTGAGGACCATTAAAATTCACAACCTACCCTGCACTTTGCAGCGTGAAACTATGAAAATATCTCAGTGAAACACAAAAAGGAGTAGTCCTTCACTTTGTTTTAGGCCTTCTAAACATTTATTGCTCATAATCCTAAAATTTTACAAGAGATATATTTAATTATTATATCCCCAAACCCCCTATAGTATGTTATAGACCCACAAAAAACTTCAACACTTGTGTTACATTTAGGAGCACTCAGAGAAATGACAACTCTCCAGCAGGTTTTCTTTCTTTGTGCAAGCAAGCATAAGGCAGACACTAACTGTAAAACGAGGAGGCGGCAGGAACAATATCCAAATGCAGCACACACAGAGGGACACACAAGGTCAAAATCCAATCTTTAATCCAGAAAAGAGGAGACGGAAAAAACAACACAGCAAACAATCCAGAGAAGAGCAGGGGAAAGTGAAAGACCATTAAAAGGTTCAAGAGGTCATATACAGTTGATTGATTGGGGGCGGGGCAAAAAATCACAAAGGAGAGAAACTGAAAGGTAGTAAAACTAATAACTGTGTGAACAAAAGAGAAGGAAAAAAATACAGAAATTAAAATAATAAGAACAATGCAGGCACGTAGAAGAAAGATAAACAATTAAAACAGACAAAAGAAACAACATTTGAGTTAAAAGCAAACAACAACGCACAATGCATAAAGGTTTCATGCAAACATGTTACCAAAATGGTGATCTAAAGAGATACGCCTTTAGAGAAATCACAGAATCAGCATTCCACAGTACAGGTGCTGTGTTTGATCTGCTCAGGTCCTTAGGCAGATGCGTGGAGGAGACAGTAAATTTACCATGAGTGAGCTGAAAACTTGACAACCTGATAAAAAGTATTTTAAAGTATACTTTATCTAATTGTTCTGAACTGCATGCATTTTATGTTCAGGCTCATTTTAGAGATCGAGGAGCCAGCCGCAAACCACAACGGAGGCCAGCTGCTTTTTGGTGTTGACGGCTATTTGTATATCTTCACTGGAGACGGTGGAAAAGCTGGGGATCCATTTGGGAAGTATGGCAACGCACAAAACAAGTAAGGTCCTTCAGGTTTCCTCAAGTGAAAATAATAACCTAGTCAAATATGTGAACAATAATTTAACCATAAAGCCATTGCGTTAAGCCTGGTATTGCCATTGTTAGCTGTTATTTTTTATTAATCTATTTAGCCAAACTTTCAGCTAACTGTGTCTCCATAGCCTTCAGCTACACCCACCCTTCATCCATACATACATACGTTTCTGAGTTAGAAAGAGTTTATACAAATATTTTATTATTTTGGCTTTTTTAGCCTTTATTGGATACAGACAGGGTAAACATAGGAAAGTGGGGAGAGAGAGAAGGCCCACCATCCAGAGGAATCGTTGTAGGAGTCGGGTGGATTATGCAGCAGTATCAATGTTCTTATATTACTTAAAACTATTCAGCCATTTAAAACATTACCATTTATTAACTGTTTGTGCAATATGACCTGGCACTCAATCAAAGCTTGTTCATTATACCCCAAGGTACTATAAGAATGCCTAATTATTAATCCATTATCTACACCTTTAGTTTATTTATCTTATATTAATCATTTTTTCACTTAAGGCCTCTACCCTGAGTTTTTCATTTATTTTCTTGGTATTCAGAAGTGCTCTTTTGGGAAAAGTGCTTCGCATTGATGTGGATGGAAGTGACCCCAGTGGCATGCCATACAGGATCCCCCCTGACAACCCATTCCTCAGGGACCCAGGTGCCCGGCCAGAGGTGTTTGCTTATGGGGTAAGAAACATGTGGCGATGTTCCGTGGACCGTGGAGACCCGGTGAGTGGCTACGGCAGAGGTCGGATATTCTGCGGGGATGTTGGTCAAAATCGCTACGAGGAGATTGACATTATTATCAAAGGAGGAAACTATGGATGGAGGGCCAAAGAGGGCTTCGAGTGCTACGACATGAAATTGTGCCAAAACTCCTCCCTGAGTATGTTTTCTGTTCTTGTGAAGCTTCCCCAGTGATGAAGTCAAGAGCTATTTTCTGTCTGCTTGAAACGTTTGCCACGTTTTATTTCCATCGTTTTTGATTGTTTTCATTCTCAGAGTTAAATTAGGTTTGTCTTTCTCTGCCACAACAGATGACATCCTCCCTATATTTGCATACAGCCATCATGTCGGGAAGTCTGTGACAGGGGGGTATGTGTACAGAGGATGTGAATCACCCAATCTGAATGGCTTGTACATTTTCGGAGACTTCATGAGTGGGTAAGATTATGTTTATCTGAGCATTTTCCAGCCTGAATTGGTCTGTCTTCTCAGTTACCTTTACATTTTTTATTTAATTCGCCTGCTCCAAGTGACATAAAGCTGTCAACCTTTCAGTCGAATTATGGCTTTAGAGGAAGACAGGACAACAGGAAACTGGAAAGAGAGGAGTGTGTGTATGGGTGATACGCAGACTTGCTCTTTTCCCGGACTCATCAATCAACACCACAAGTTCATCATCTCATTTGCTGAAGATGAAGCAGGTAAGGTTTGATCAGTCTGTTTATGCGTTTATCACAGGATCAGACCCGTGTGACACTGCTGACAAGCTGTTTTTGTCATCCAGGGGAGCTGTACTTCCTGGCTACGTCATACCCGAGTGCCATGTCTGCTTTTGGAACTGTGTTTAAATTCATGGACCCCTCCAGGTATAGTGTCAGACCAGGTGTATATTACATTTACACATTATGGACGTGCTCTGTGTTAAATGGGAACACCTGCTTGGGGAAATTATTCAAAAAGACAGGCGTGTTTTTCAAACAGGCTTTAATTCAAGTGATGGAAAAGAAAAAAAATCCCGGGGGCCAAATAATTATGAATTGTACATAAAGGAAGAATAAAGGATGTGTCTTCCAACAATCTGTTGCATCCTAGGCAGTCTCTTTACCAGAGAAGTCCTGAAACGCTAACACAGTATGACAAGAATGACATTTTGTATCAGTCATTTAAAGCAGCAGGATTCTAACGTTTGACATCTCAAAGGGTTTTTTTTCCTATAGGATCAAAATTAGGGGCAGGCCCTTACAAGCACACATTTTTTCCTTTCAAGTAAAATCCAGTGAGCCATTATGAATCTGTATCAAGCAATAATGTCATGATAATTTTAATGATAATTCAATTAACTGAAATAACATTATAAAGAAGATGTTATTGCTGCTAAAAGTGATTCCACTAGTTACTGAATGATTTAGTGTACTTAATTTATTTATTTACTTTTAGTTTCTGCATTTTGGCTTAGTTTTCATTGAGTAAACAATGATCTACTGTAATATTTCACAGGTTCATATGAGGTTGTACTCACTTGATAAGAACCAGATGATGTTTTTATGTCTCGACACATAAACCTTAGAACCAAAAGAGTGCGTACTTTCTTTTTACTGTGACTTTACATTGGTTTTAAGGATGCTGTGGGAAAGTTTTTGTACAGAAAATAACTAAACTTTTTAAATTAAATAAATAACAATACGATTGTGCTGTCCTAAAGAAAACAACGAAGACAGAGTTACTATCTTGTCATTAAAAAGGGACTTCATTTACTTTTATAGGAGAGCACCTCCTGGGAAATGTAAGCAAAAGCCACTCCCTGTCAAAGTGAGGGGAAAAAAGTTTCCATTTGTGCCAAAGGAATGTAAGTAACTTCAAACTTATCTTTGCATTTCAATCACTTCTCGATCTGCATACCAGACCTGTTCTAAATCTGAGGTCGTCTAAGAAAGTAAAGAAATTTATTTTAACCTGAAACGTCTAATATTTCGAGGTGCATTGAATATAAACATATACACACCATATTATCAAGTCAATTAACCTGATGTTAGAGGTTAGCGTAAGCGTTACACAAGCCACATTTAAGAAAAATCTGTTCTTGCAGACCGACAAATTGCCTGGGTTCACTGTTCACTCATGCATGCATGTCCTGAGCAGAACCTGCTTTTTTCCCCCTCTCTGGATTTACTGTCTACATGCTGCCAAATTGTATAATCACACTGGGCTCATACATAAAACTATAAAAAGCAGCATCCAGTTTTACATCAAACATATTTAAAATAGAGACAAGCATTCCAAACACTTAGGCTCAGCCAAATATGCACACCATTTTAAAAAAAACTCAACACATGCGGTTGTAGAAGAGTAAAATGGTGAAAATGGGTACTTATTGACATCTGTGCCATTTCAGTGACTGTACTGGGCACAAATGAAAAACCTACCAGACCACCGCCAAGAAAATTCAAACTCCCCACCAAACCGCCGGTGAGGAGCAACCAGATCAAACCTACGATGACTGCAGCAGGCAACTCAACGACGGGCACCGCTGTAAAGGTCAAACCGAAATCATCGGACAAAGACACGAAGAAGAAAAATATGCTGAAACCATGGAAAAAAGACAAAATGCTGAACAAGAAAAAAGCCAGCACACAAGCAAAGAAGAATACTTTGAAGCAGAAATCTAAGGAGACAACTGTCAGCGTCAAAGATAAAGTAAAACCAAAGACAAATCAAACTGCCACAGAGACTTTAAACACTTCAAACGCCCACAATGGCCTGAAAGATAACAAAATCCACACAAAGAGGAAGATACACCAGAGGAAAGCTGCGCAGAAGCAAAGTGGACCAAAGATGACGATTAAAGAATCTACAAAAGAGTATCCTGCCTTTGTGAACAAAACTAAGACAAACTTCAACGTAAGAAGCAACAGAACACTAACAAGACAGCTTAAGGTGAAGAGCAAACAAACATGAGTCTGATTATGGCTTAATCAGATTTTGTCTTCATGAAATGATAGTGTTGACTGGCACATCTTAAAGCAATAGTTCTACTCTTATTTTCAGCTATGGAAAGAGTTATTCCACTCCCATGTATGCACAGAGACAGCAGCTTAGTGCAAAGGCTAACGACAGAGGCAAGCTCCTGAAGACTGGCTCTATCAGAGAATCAATTCACCAGCACTTCTAAAGATTGCTAATTATTATTTTACCTTTATTGTTGCCACCGGAGTCTCCAATTCCAGATATCAGCAGCCTCTGCCAAAATGCTGAACAATTCCTTTAAAGCAGTGTTTCTCATATTGGTTACCAGTAGAAAGTACAGCAGTGAGTACTTGAGATTTTTATATTCATTTAAATACCAGTTATGCATATCTCTGAAAATAAACTTAAATAAACTAAATTTCATATTCAGCATTCTTTTCAGTGCAATCGTTTTAGCTGTTGTAACTGTTGAAAGCATCACTGAAGAAGAAAGTAACACATATAATGAGCAGGATGCCAGTTTCAAAATATGTCAAAAGAAAAATGGATTCATGGTTGAAACACATCCGACATACAAACTGTTAAGTGCTCCACATCTTCCTCTAGGACTTTCTTTTCTTCTGCAGCTTCATAAATTAGACTTTAAAGTCACAAGTGGAAAACATTTAACCTTCCCAGCAACCCAAGAAACTCCAGAAAAACCGAAGAGCTTCATATCAGACTGTACAGGTCTCGGTTAGCATCTTAAATGTTAAAATTCATGGCAAATCAACAAAAGGGAGGCTGAAAAAAATCAAACAATCAAGGTGAAGCGCAGACTTCAGCCAGATTGAAATGCTGTGGTGGGATCTTAAGAGAGCTGTGCTGTCCACAATCCTCGTGGAACTGAACACTGTAATAAGGCAGGGCTAAAATCCCTCCACAACAATGTGAAAGACTGATAAAGTCACACAGAAAACAATTACTTAAAGGTATTACCAATTAAGAATTTTTTTATTATATCCCGACACCTAAAACCTGAAAACTGACCAATGTTGTTCTTTCTTTTTACCATGTGGGCATATTTTTTCTTTTCTACCAACACGTTTATCACTGCTCAGGGATGTGCATGCAATTATGCATGTAACGACATTGTTTCCTTTATATTTTATATTTAGCTGTCATAAAATCATTGTTCCAAGTTAAACTCTCCCCTGCCTGTATTTAGAACATATCAGCTTAGCCTAAAATCTAAAGAGGCAGCAAACGTAAAACACAACTTCTATTTATACCCAGGCCCAGTTTCTGAAATTACTCTAATTTTACAACACATGGAAGTGTTAAAAATAAACATTAACAAGTATCCTTGACTCTCAGAAGCTCTCTGTAATTAAACTCTGCACCACTGATCTTAACTGAAACCGCCGTGACCATGACTTGTATAATGTCTGCTGTAAACGTAAAGCCACCCCGACTTCCACGTGCAGTTGTGCAGCCTGAGGTTACAAAAGTCTCACAATCCGGCATTTCCTTGGTTTCCGGACTTGATGCCTGTGTCGTAAAATATTTTATAATTTCTATAAAGTGTCTGAAATTGGTGTATTGTTTAGATTTTTGGTGAAAGAAAGGTCATTCAAGGCTGCAATAAGCTTCACATAAGAAGATGAAACATTTCAAAAATCCTAGATGCACGTACGCTATCCCAGCTATAGCTCAATATAATCTTACCCTAGTCATCTGTTTAAAAGCCCCTAATAGCAATGTAATTGCAGTGATTCTGTCTGTTTCAGCACACACTTGCTCATCACGATCTACAAATCAAGTTCTCGTGGAACAGGACAATATTTCACAAAGACAAACCACAAAAACTGGGTCATAGAGTCGAGCATGGTTGAAAAACTGTACGGTGCTTCACAAATCGACAGTAAGCTCATCATCCACAAGTGTCTGCTTTATACTTCTGATATGACGTGAGCATGCCCAGTCATGACAACAATCCTGCAGCAATACAATGCTTGATAACAGACATACAGTATTTTGTAATATGACATAAACCTACCATGCGATTCATCATATACAGCTCATGGAATATAATTGTACCTCATCCTAATCTGATCCAGGCCAGATTATTCTTTAAATAATCTACATACAATTTGAGATGAACACCACCATCAGACATATGTGGAACATGTGGAGCACTTAACGATTGGTATGTCTGATGTTTTCATCATTATTAAGTCAGCAAAAACTACATACAGCCACATCCTGTTAAATAAAATCAAACATCGAAAAGACTGAACAAGTAAGGCTTGTTAGGAAGGGTTGACGATAGAAAGCTTCTTCACTCTAACACGGCAGAACAGTTTAGGTGGAAACTTAGGTGGCAATTTGTGTTAACTGAGTCGACTTTAAACTCCTCTGTGTACCAAAGTGTTCAAGAGTCAAACGTGAGGCCATCTGTCCAAAAGCTAAAGCTTAGCTGAAATTGGGTACTGTGACTTTAAGCACTCCACATTAAAGGTTCCATATTAAATTGCACTGATTTGGGAAAGAAGTAATTTAAAGTGATGCCGGGTTGTTTACGTTTACTATATGTTGCTTAAAACCACAGATTCCTTACAAATTACAGACTCACGTAACTATGTTCCAAGTTCAAGCAGCTCGGTGGTGCAACACAAATCTGCTTTTTAGCTTAAACACAAACACACACACGTTCCTTAAAAAAGACCTTTTGTGACGGCGAAGGGGCCATGCAGACATTTGGAAGTGACTCATCCTATTGTGCATCAACCTGTATAAACTCTGTAATTATTAGCTGGAGGGTTTTTAAGTAGAGGGATCACCCTTTGACGTTTGGTGACACACAAATGATGGCTTTCTTCACCCTTTTAAAGACGTGTTTTTGCAGGTTTCAGTGTTTTGTCTATTTGCTTGAATTCCTTACAGTGAGGCTTACATGCAACGAGCTGCCCGATCCTAAATAAAGTACAGCAAAAAACACAAACAACATTTAGCGTATTAGGCGAATGAGGTGAAATTTATTTAATAACCTACCATGAATTTATTTAAATAAAACAGTTTTGCCTCTTAATTCTTTAGCCTGTGTCCATGAAATGGGTGCTAACATCCTGTAGTGCCTTTTAGTTATTTCTGAATCTATTTAAACAGCTAAAAATGTCATCAGTGCATTGAAAAGTGGTGGAACTGCAATAGTAAATAACCAAAGCCCGGGTTTCTTTTGCAACCTGTGGACGTGTAGTCACAAGGCAGGAAGACATCTTCGCTTTACTGAATAAGTCTCACAAATCTTTAATAATAATTTTAAAAAAAAAAGATCTTATAAAAGCCATAAGGGAGAGCAGTCTGTTGGGTGATTTTGTGTGCAGACTAAAAATATCTACTGCATAGATGCCATGATTTTTGTCCTGTTCATCCCCAAGGATGACTCACTAGCCTTAGTGATCCTTATTAATTCATTATTATTTATATATATATATATATATATCAAGACACACCATCAGATTGGATTTGTCATTAAACAGGGGTCTGGGGGTGGACGGGTCCTCCTTCGGAAAATTATGAACGTCAGACACTTCGTTTCCTGCATTATGGTGGGTTTTTTATGCAACACTTTGTATCGTTTTTCTGCAATTTAATTGATGGTTTATGGAATTACAGGCATATCATTTTACTCTGCAGACTCTTCATGGTTAAGTTAAGTCATATTGCTCTCTACTGGCCACCATTAGCAACTAAAACTGGGTCAAAAACTTCAGCCAGTAAAGCATCAAATGCTAAAACTGTTTATACTCGTGGGACTACAACGTGTGGGGTTAAAGAGGCCCAAATTTGTCACCTGCTGGTCTGAAATAGATAATATAATGTTATAATGTTAAGGAGGCCATCTGGAACTTTTTTTCTTGTTGTAAAAGTGTCATAAAATCTGCTGTATGTATGTGCTTTATTCAGGACTACTACTTGTTTTGCGTTACTGTATGCTGCAAGTAGATAATGGATTAATAAATGTTTGTGAAGGATGAAGCTGTCAATGCACTCTCCAGAAGATGCTGGAAAACTGTTACATTACAACTTCGGCCTTTGCAATGGACTGAATGTGTTCCCAGTAGCTGGTCAAATGAGGCCACGCCTACTATATTTTTATTGTACTCAGTCACACATGTCTGGGTTAAGGTTATGGAGACCCTCTCAAGATGGCCATCTTCATTTTCCTGCCAGTGTAAGCGTGTCCTCATTGTACACAGGGCTGACGGTGGCACAGAGGGAGACTTCCTGAACGTCAATTGAATTTACAACTTAAAGGTCCCTGATGTACCAAATCAAGTCTCTTGGTGATCTTTCTTGGATGTTCCACAAGCCCTAAATCCCTGCTTTTTCAGGTGTTTAGAAGAAGGCTGGGCGGGTGTAGAAGCTGTGACAGTAGATACTGCAACCCCATCGCAGACAGTCTTCATTCACCATTGATGTAACCAAATCAAAGGAAAGCCCTTTGATTTCCCCGTGTACAGTTTGAAGTCTATGGTGTTCAAAATTTTTTAGCCCTCACTTGGTGGGTTTGTCTTTCATGCATTGTTTGATGGGTAATCTTGGCTTCATAGCAATTATCCTCTCATGTATGAAACATGCTTCTTCGGTTGGTAGTTACTCAGCAATTTTATATCATGTAAAGGAGACATCTGAACTGGTCGACTGAGTTTGTTTTGTTTTTTTAAATTGTGTAAATAATTTAATAGTTATAGTAGTTTAAACAAAAACATTGCAAAAATCTGCTGTGCAAATTTTGGTATGGATCTGATACCAAGTAAATAGAGCGCCAATTTTTCATTACCAATACTGTTAACCTATGAAGCTGGCTTATGTAGGATAGTAGTGTGTCATGAGATGAATCAGCAATTTGCAAATTCTGAACACATTTTAATGACCACTAAATCACTGGCAGTTTTTGATAGAGTTGTATTGTTGATTGTCATTCATGCTTAGAAACATTTACTCATTTATGCTTAGAAATATTTAACCATAGATGCTTAGAAGTGTATAATCAATTGTGTAGTGATAAGTTGTGTGATCTTTAACAGGCTACAGAGGCCTGGTGTGCATTCCACACTGGGAGCATGGGAAAGTTCGTACCTTGTTTAATTGTTATGGTAGGATTAACGTAGTTACATTTGTTTTAGTTTAAGTGCTTTTTGTGTATAATGAACTGCTAGACTTCCTTACTGTGTTATCTAGGATGAGGGGGGGTCTACCCTCTTCCTGACCAAGGATGTTTGCTTGTGTGCTTTTATGACCCTTTGATCAGCAGTAGCGCGCACACACACACACACACGGTACTCTTTGTGTATGTAGACGTCATATGTTAATGAACCTATGCATATTCATGTAACCTCAATAAAAGGACAGTGATACGGGAGAACGGACGAGAGCAACTGGGGC